TGGGAAGTTTTGTGTCCTACCTAAAACCAAACAGCCCCTGTCCCCATCCCTCGTGGCTGCACGGCGCCGTTCCAGGCGAGCGCTCCTGGAATTTCCTTTTCCACGCTTCTTGTCTCTGGGACAATACGTTTTTCTACCTCGGAGAGATGAACAAAGATTATCTCCATCCCTTTAGCACAAAACCCCACAAAGATGATGCCTCGTGCCTCGCAGAAGCCATGCCCAGCCCCGCTTGCATCCATGGCGCGATGGTTCAGCAATAACCTGGGGTGAGAAGGGAGCGGGGCAGCCTCCAGCCTTCAGATCCTCACCGGCACATCCAAAGCACTTCTCCAACCAGCAGCGATCTTCTGGGTGCTCCAAGGGGCTCCTGGAGGATTTTGGTCGCTGCCTTAAGGGACACAAATCTGAATATGCCAAGGAAGACCCAGAGCCCTTCCCAGGGCCCCACTTGAGAGAGCACAGAACTGTACAGAGAACACAGGAGCTATAAACAGTATTTGTTCTTTTTTCTATGTTCTGGAGATGAAATTCTTAGGACTTTCTGCTTTTATGGATGTTCTGGGTACTTTAGACATAGGGGTCTGCTAAGGGAGATGTTTCTTTTCTCCTCAAGCTGGGCAAAGGTCTTTTCCACCCCTCAGCAAACCTCTTGCTTGATCCCTGTCAGGCTCCAGCATTGGGCAAGGAACCACTTTGTTCTTCCAGGGCTTCTCCAGGTGAAGCCACCAAAACACTGCAACGTGCAGGAAAATGGAGAATATCCAACTCGATTCCTATTTTTATTCCCTTTTTAGTCTTTATTTCCTTTTTAACACCCTAAAACTGGTTTGGGATCATCTGAAGCCTCCGAGCAGCGAGAGGATGGGGGACGGAGCTACCACATCCCTGCAGTCTCCCAAATCTTGGCTCTTTTTGCTGGGTTTTAAGAGAGGAAAAACAATCAAACCCATGAAGGATTATTATGTTTAAAGCAGTTGGAATTTTCCAACATCCAACGCTGACCTGGATGCCTTCAGCATCGCCGTTCCTGAATCCCAGCACCCAGCCTTTGGTACATGAGCTCAACCTCCCCCACACTGCTTTCAAACAGAGGGGGGAAAAAGGCAAAAGGAGGCTAAGCACAATAAAAAGGAAGTGGAATATTAGTACTTTGCCAAGAGCCCTCCATTGCCCTCTTCTGGAACCAGCTTGGGATTCCCAGTGGAGCTCCAGATTGCACTACCTTTAAGCAGGGAAGGAAGAGCACCTCAGGGTTGAACGGGAAGTGGAAAGAGGTTGATGTTTCGAATCTTAAGGTTTCAACTCAGCATCAGTTATTGGTTCTTTCAGCGTTGTATCTCTCTGAGTTACCCACCACCTTCTTGCCCTCTTCCTTCTGTCCCAAACTACTAAGTACCAGACCTTTGCACTTGCTGGATGTGCCCCGCTCCAGCCTGAGGGCAAAGAGAAACAGGAACCCTCCAAACTGATGCACTAACCTGGAATGGGGCTGGAAACGCGGCGCTTGATTCCTGGTGAGCAGCCGGGATCGTCTGCGGCAGGTTTTGGTCTCTCCAGGTCCCCCCTTTGCCAGCCTTTTCCTTGGAATTCACTGATCCACCAGCATTCCTAAGAACTAAGCTGCAGGTAGGACACTTGCGTAGATGGGGATTCACAACAGGGGGCGAGGAGCCGCTCGCGCACCCCTCGTTTACGACGGTCGTGGCACAGACCTGGGTTGAAAACACGCTTTTTTGGGTTGGTTCATTTTGCTGCTTTTTCCTCATGGAAAGCAGATCCCAAACCACCATTTCGGGAAGCGAGACCCAGCTCCAGCTGGGGAATGGGAAGCTGACGGGAATGGGAGTCTCTCCAGAGGCAATGGTGCTTTGCTGCCTGGTTTGTCCCCCCCTCAAGTGATGGGTTTGGGCATCACCCACCTTTGTTTTCGGGCTGGACACAAGGAAAGCTGCCATATCCAAGCCCTGTGCTTCCCAGGAATCATTACATCCACAAGATTTGGTTCATCCTCTTGCTTTATCCAGCACAGTGGCCAATGAGCCATTGGAACACCCTCACCAGAACCATCTCAGCATTGGGTTGGGATTGGTTGGGGTTTTTTGGGTCACTTGTGGTGCTTTTCCACCTTTTTGCTTGCATTCATTTCATCTTTTTGCTTCCCGAGAAGCTGAACCCGCTCCAGCTTCACCAGCTGGGAGAATGGGAATTCTGTTTCCTGCTGTAAATACCACGTTGTCATCCCCAATCCTGTGTCAGGACCATCTAATGGTGCTTTTTAACTACAGTTGGCACACACCTTTTTAGCGAGTACGTGTTTGAGCAGATGTTTGCTGTGTACAAGGGTAATTCTGTCTCGTTGGACTGTTATAACTGTGTTGTTAAAGAATAAATTATTTCAGTATGAAAGAGAACCCAGTGCCTCCATCCCTCCCTTCCCCATCCCGCTGCCTCCATCCCTCCCTTCCCCATCCCACTCCATCAGCCCATTTTGGTACCCAAGAGGGCAGAGTTTTGCTGCTGGAAGGCTCTGGGGCCTCCCCCGTTGTGTGGGGTTGTCCCTGGGTTTAGGTCCCCATCCCTGGATGCAGCATCTGCTGCTTTAGAAAGCTCAGCCCCCTGATTCCAGCCCCTTGGAGCTGTCCTGGATCCAGCCACAGCTCCTCTGTGGAGCTGCCATGGGCAGGCTCCATCCACTGCCATGTCCTGCACCCTGCATCCTTCCCAGTGCATCCTGCACACACATCCTCCATCCCTCATGCCAAACCCTCCATCCTGCATCTCACATCTTCCACTCTGCATCCCTTCATCCTGCATCCTTCATCCTGCATCCTTCATCCCACACCCTGCATCCAGCACAGACTCATAGAACCAACCAGGTTGGAAAAGAGCTTTAAGACAGGCCGGATCCAGCCCGCCCTTCAGC